CCGACCCATCCTTCAAATTCGGGGAAAAGGAGGACGCATTTGTCGGCTGCATTCGGAGGAGTCTACGAATTTGGACAGCCTTCGGCGCGTCGCTGTGACGTAATCGGTCTACAAATGCATCCTCAGGAGGAAGCAGCCCATGGATTTGGACACGACCATAGTTTGTCAGTCAATGGTAAGTGAGCTCGATATGGCCAAAACAGCTGTTAACTTCCAAAGGGTCGTCGCGTCTCTTCTTAAGCTAACTTCAACAACTCTTTGCTAAAGTTTCTTCCTTTCTCATCAACGTTATCCCCTGTAGTTACCACAGCTCTGCTCATCACCCTTGTTTTGAAAATACCAGTTCAGCATTCCTCAGACATCCTCTCAGTTCCTCCACACGTATATCATCTAGACCATTTGCCTTCCACTCTTCATCTTCTTCATAGCTGCCTCCTTACTTACAATGATCCTCTGTACTTGCTGTATCTGTCCTGCTCTCATTTTCTTTATTGATCAGCTCATCAAACTACTCCTTCCATCTCAACACACGTTCTTTACTCACAGCACACTGTAAGCCTTCGCCTTTCTATCTCTTATTCGATGTACATTTAGTTCTTGCTCATTCAGTCTGTTTCCAGACGATACATAAAATACTGCAGTACAGTTTTCCTCACCACTTCCTCCAGCTTCTGCCTTTCAGGCCTGGATTTTACCTTCACTTCCTTCCTTTTCTTGCTTTCCAGAGGCATCTTGGTTTTTGAGAAACCACAGCCATCAGCCCTACCCAGCACTACCTCATCACCTCTGTTCCCTCGGTCTACACGTCCACTAAAGTCTGCTTCAGTCTTAAAGCTTTAGCCTCAGCCTCAACTATCTGACAGCTCACAGTCACTTCAGATAAACTTCAGGGAGTTTGGATAGTAAATATTTTCATTCTTGTTTGCTACAAAATGTTTATTTTTACTCATTCTTCTAATTAAAATTAAGTTATGTACAAAAAAAGTTATTTATTTTTTTGTTGCGTTCGATCAGATGTGAAGCATGCTAATATGAAAGGTGGATAGTTACCCTCAGATGTGGCATCCAGTAACAGTTTTTCAGCACGAGGAGCTTGTGGTGTGTCGGCCCTAAACAAGTAGCGAGTGATGGGAGGCTGTAGGCTCTCCTGGCCACTCGTCACCTCTGCCAGCTCACAGAATAACGTCACTCTTTCCTGCAGGAGCTCCAGCATCTCCTGGTCCTTGTGCTGCAGATCAGCTGATTGGATGACAATCAATCAGTCATCAGTCTAAAACAGACGTGCAGAAAAACAAAGCCTGCCTCTTCATCGGTCTCCCTGCTTCATGTTGATCAGAGAGGTCGGGCAGACCTGATGCAGGACGCTTTAGTTTGAAATACAGTTCATGTAAATAACTATTCAGTTCAATTTTCAGTTTGATTTTGTTTGTATGAAACAAGCTGAGTCTAAACAGGAGGAGACCAGTGCAGCAGAAACGGTCCAGCTGCTGTTTTTCCTGCTGATTCTTTGGTCGACTTGTTATTTGCTTCATTTAACTTCCTAGTTTTAGTTTGTCCTGTTCTCAGTTCTTGGTTGTTGAGAGTTTAGCTCCACTCGTGTGTCACTTCCCCGATAAGTTCATGTGTGTTTCCTCGTTTAGTCACATGCTTCACTTCCTCTGCTGCTGGTTAGATGTCACTGCTGGTTTTACTGTCACCATAGCTGCTTTGCTCTTTATGATTTTACTGTTTACTGTTATTCCAAACTTGTGAAATGCTGTCTTCTTGTGCAAAAGCATTTACTGTGGGCAAAAACACAATCCAGGATAATCCTGGCATGTCAGAAGATCTAAATTCCTGACACTAGCACAGATGTTCTGCCTGTGGATACTACAGCAGTTTTCATTTTTAGATCCAGGTTTGGTATGTTTGATACTCTGACAGGGCATTTGGAGATCACAGAGTTGTTCGGTCCAGTGGAACCTCTGTGTTTGGTAAAAGTATGGAAACCTTTAAATAACTATTTAGGACCAAAGGGTGACAGAAAACCTGAGTATTCATCGTTTTGGTTAAAGTTTGTAGAGAACACGTAGCCACCAGTAAGACTAAGCTACCATGTCGTCTTTTTCTGGTTCAGGTATTTGAAATGTCATTCAGTTAGTCTGTATATTCTCCTGACCTTTGAGCCTCCTCAGATGAGCCTTGTGTTCCGACTCTATCAGGGGAAACTCCTCTCTTGATGGACACCTGAACACACAAATACAGACCACACATATCATCTTATCAGTCACATAACAGACACGAACATTTTAAATTTGTCGTGTTTTTGTTCATAAACTAATTAGTAGACATTTATACCTCAATGATTAAACAGTTTATCACAACTTGGGTCTCATTTTGGTAACTCGACTTTATTACCCTGCCCTCACCTGTGGTTACAAGCTCTGGGTAGTGACCAAAAAACGAGTACAAACAGAAATGAGCTTCTCCTGAAGAGTGTCTGGCCTCTGGGTTATTATTA